GGGCCCGCCGCTCGGCGGGCGCGCGGCAGGGGCCGAGCAGCGGCAACGGCGGCGGCGCCGGGGGTTGGCGGCGATGCGTCGCCGTCAGCCGCTGCGGACGATCCTGAGGCGACGCCTGGCGAAGCCCCGCTGGGGCCTGGACGCGCCGCCCGGCGGCGCGGCCGCGCCAGCGGTGCTGGCACTGCGGGCGAGGAGGCCCCCGAAGCGACGCCGCCCGGGCCGTCAGGCGCGCGCAGGAGCGACGGCGGTGCACAGGCGAGCGGGGCTTTGGAAGGGGCAGAGGCGGCAGCGCGGGGCGTAGATGTAGCGAAAGCGCCGGGCCGGCAGCCCAGGCGCAAGGGGGCGCCAGCCAAGCAAGAGGCTGACGAAAAGCAGCAGCAGCAGCAACAGCAGCAGCAACAGCAGGAGCAGCAGCAGCAGCAGCAACAACAGCAGCAGGAGCAGCAAGAGCAAGACGAGCAGCCGCCAAGCAGCAACGCCGGCAGGCGCACCCGCAAGCGCCCCGCCAAGGATGGCGCTGACGACGCGGCAGCTGCCGCCGGCGCCTGCGCTGCCGCCGCCAACTGCGGCCGCACGCGCGGCGGCGCCGCGGCAGCAAGCTCCCCGGCGGCGCTTTCCCCATTGTCGCCGCTGTCACAGCCGGGAGAGGGCGGGCGGGCCGGGTTTGTGGCGACGATCGCGGGCTTTGAGCAGGGGACTGTAAGGACGGTAAGAAAAGGCGTGCTGGAGCGGGCGTCCCCACTCGACGCCGCCGCGCGGCCAAGGCCACAAAACGGCCCCGCGACGCGGCGGCGCAGCAGCACGGGCGCGCTAGAGGCGGCTGAGCAGGCGGCCGCGGCGGCGGCGGGCGCGGCTGCGCGGCGGGGGAGCCGCGAGGGCGGACAGGAGGCGGCGGTGGCGCTCGAGCAGCAGCAGCCGGGGACGTGGCGCAGTCGCGCGAGCCTGGGACCAGTCAGGGAGGAAGCAGATGAGCAGCAGCAGCAGCAGCAGCAGCAGGAGCAGCAGCAGCAGCAGCAGCAGCAGCAGCAGCAGCAGCAGCAGCAGCAGCAATGCGAAGGGGAGGTGGCCGACGAGTCGGGCGGGGCGGGCGCTCGCGGCAGCGGCAAGCATCCCTCAGAAGGCGCGGCTGAGGCACCGCGCAAACGCCAGCGGCGCCAGGCGGCGCCAGCGCCGGGGCCCGTTGCTGCCAAGGAGCCGTCCAGGCCGCGGCGGGCACGGGCGGGGCAAATCGGTGACGATGCGGCCCCTGCTCGGCCGGCTGGCGGCGGCGGCGGCGGCGGCGGCGGCGGGGCGCAGCCGTCGCGGAGTCGGAGGCGGGCCGGGAGGACTTGACCGAGGGAGGGCTTTGGTGCATGGGGGGGGCGGATGGCGCGGGGGATGACGTCACAATTGACTTTCACTGTTATTTGTACCATCAGCACGGAGCGGCACGCCCGGCCGACGGTCAGCTTTGCTTCTGTGACGCGAGTGTCACATCTCCCCTCGCCTGTCCTGCTGCCCATGCAGCGCTTGGAGGTCGGCCGCGACCGCCTTTCACAAGGCACGCGGGGTTGCCTAGGAGGCTCAAGATTTTAATTGTTTTCCTGGTAACAAAGTCTCAATTGTCCGATGGGGACTGCAAAGTTTGGAGTTGCAGAGACGTTGCAGAAGCATTTTGGCACACGCATCGCCAGTCGGCTGGCAAGGTGCAGCTGGGTGTGCAGTGGCACCCAATGAGCACGCAAGCCCTGCCACTGAGGTAAGATCGGGCCCTTCCCAGCAACAACGGCCATCAGATGCACTTGCGCCTCGGAGCGCAGCCCAGCCTCCTCGGCGCCTTCCCAGCAGCACGCGTTGTCTTTCTGGCTTGACTGGGTGGCGTGCTGGTCTTAGCAGGCAGTGGCACCGATCGCCATCATGTGTCGTTTGCAATGCAGACTTTCCAACCTCGCGCACGCACGTGAGTCACCCCACGGCCTGCTCGGCGTCAGCAGTGCCCGACTTATTGACCCTACAGTGCACAGGTGCACTGCTGCACCCGCAAGGCAGGCGTCACCTGTCTGCAACAGCCCGAAGTTGTGTCATAAACAGGTGCCTCTCAATGCGTCCGGCACTTGATAATGTGAGTTCGGAGCACGAGGTACCGTACATACGCTGTCCAGCTTCTGAACCGCCCTTCATTAGTGTCCTGATTCCGCCGTCCAAGTCCCGAATTGAATTGCGAACCCGTCCGTTCTATTCAATTAGTGTGCTCGAAAACATGATCAGCAGCGCGTATGTGATGGAGCTCGCCGTCATCGGCGGAAGCGGCGGGGGTCCCTTCGACCACCGCGCCGCGACCGAGCAGCAAGGGGCCGGCACCCTGGGCTGCGGCGCCCGGGGCATGCGCCTCTCGCGGCTGCATGTCGAGGGCTGGGCGGTGCTGTCAAACGTGAAAGCGACCTACGCCCTGATCAAGGACCCAAACGGCGCCTCGGTGGCCGTCCCTGCCACCGGCAACGTCCGCGGACGAGGTGCGCTCCGCCGCCATACGGACACCGCAGGGCGGCTGTGCGCCTTGCCTGATCCCTTGGACCCGCCCATTCTGGTGATTATCCCCCTTGGCATAACAGTCCTGCCTCCCGCTCTCCTGCCGCCCTGGCACCATAATGCATTGCCCCCTCGTCGCCCACCGCGCCCCCGGCCCCGGCGATGACGCCGAAAGCACCCCCAACCAACCAAACAGCCGGTCGCACACAACACGCCCGCCGCCCGCAGCCACCGAGATCGAGATCGCCCCCGACGAAAGGGTCGCCCTCCTGAGCTGCGAGCACCGCTTCCGCTCCTGGGACGCCGGCGCCCACTGCCTCTCGGCCCTCAGGCTCGAGATCGAGGGGCCCGGCGGCCGGCGGCGCGCCGCGCTTGCGGTCGGGTACGGCCAGAAGCGCTTCGCCGACCGCGCGCACCGCGTCCCCGGGCACATCAGCGAGACCGACGGCGACCTGGATGTGAGGGGCCCGCCACAGGAGGGCGTGCGTGTGCGCGCCTCGGGCCGCTCGGCTGGCCTCTTGTCGCTGCCCTGCACGCGCACAACACTTTGCAGCATTGCTCTCCGCATCGCATGTCTGTGTGTGTGCTTGTTTTGTGTGTGTGCATGTGCATGTGCATGTGCATGTGCATGTGCATGTGTGTGTGAGTAAGAGAGCGAGAGAGTGCATTTGTGCACGCCCGCATCTTTGGCGGCCATGTCCGCACCCAACAGCGCCCGCCGGCTGGCCGGCAGCGACAGCATTACTCTTGCAAATAGAGCCCCCCCCTCTTCTGCGACCCACCCGGGCTGCCCCACCCTCTCCCCACAACACCGCCACTGCTACTCAAGGTCGTGGCCTTCCCTGAAGGCCTCACCCTTGCAGGAATCGCCGGCAGGGCGGGGGACAGCTGGGACCAAGTGCGGCTGCTGGCCTGCCCCTTCCTGCCGGAGCCGGCGTGGGCCCCCGCCCTGCACCGCCGCTGCCCGCCGCCGTTCCGGGAGCAGGTGGGGCACAGGCGCGGGCACGAGCGTGGCTGTCAACGGGCCACTCGCGCTGCGCTGCCGGCGCTGCGATTGCAAACGAACACGTAATACGAGGCAGGGGGCGGGCTGCTCAAGCGTGGCATTGTCGTGCGCCGCTTGAACTGCGCGGCCCCAGCATCCGCCCTCAAGAGTGAGCTGGTGGCGGCGTCGCTCTCCCGGTCCTCATCGCATCATCGCCCCCCAACCGCCGCATGCTGGCGCCAGACCCGCGCACTGCTGCTGTCCCTGGCGCGGCTGTCAAAATGCGGCGGCGGCGGCAGCTCGCACGACGACAAAGAGGGCGGCGGCGATGGCGGCGGCGGCACGAGCGGCGGGGACGGTGCGTGCAGCGCCGCCGGGGCCGCCCTGCCCCAGCTGGTGTTGGAGGCGGTTGTGGGTTCGCTGTATGACGTCACGTTTTTTGGGGAGCAGGGCTCTGGTGACGACTGCATCGGGCGGTGGA